ATCGTAGTTTGTTGGTTATTTGTTCTATGCTAGCATCGAGAGGTTAGCTTGGGATATTGGATACAGTTACATTCTTTGTGTTCAACCTTTTTATGGCGATACGAGTCATAAGGAGGGAGCTAAAACTGGATGTGAGTAGGAATATGCAATTAGAGGTTTGGGTTCATGATTTAAGTTTGAAACCATGTTGTTCGACTTCTACTTGTTGTATGACCTAATTTACTTAGTTGACTCTGAGCAGTTCCTATTATCATCTTTTCCACTTTAGCATCTGTAAAAGTATGCTACTTAATGAGTCGTAATGTTTAACAGGGGTTGTGAGAAAGAAGTTGCTGAGGCTCCAAATGATGCCTCTGAGGACACAAAGAGTGAGGGCATCATGCGCTTATCTTGGGCATTGGTTCATTCTAGGCAACCAGATGATGTGCAGCGTGGAATAGCTATGCTTGAAGGTAATTAATATAGATTATAATTTTTTTTATGGTATTTTTAATATAAAAAACCTAACGTTTATATTAAATGCTCACGTCATGCTATAAACTTGAAACCAATTGAACTTGTTGTGTCTGCAGCTTCAATAGGGAACACTAACAGTCCATTGCAAAGGAGAGAGAAATTATATCTTCTGGCTGTTGGCTATTACAGAAGTGGTGACTTTTCAAGGAGTAGACAGCTTCTTGAACAATGTTTAGAGGTTACTTCTTTTTCTTCTCTTGCTAAATCTTTTTATATAAGAAATAGCTAAGGAAGCTTCCAAAAGTATGTCATTTGCATAAAAAGGAAAAAAAAAACTATCTTCAAATCCTTCTCCTTGCAACCCACCCCACAAGGAAAAAAGACAAAAATCCCCCCCCCCCCCCCCCCCAAGTTGACACTCTCTTCTCTGTTTGATAGTAATCATATGATTAAGTGCTTGATAGGAAATATGGACCAATAATAATCATATGATTAAGGAAACTCTCAGGTCTGTTTCTCTTTTTTCTTTATTGAGTGCTATATGAACAAATGTTGTTTCTTATTTGAGCTGAATGAACCGTCAATGACTATTTTACCCTTTTGTTTGGAACTAATGCGAATGAAAAATGGTTATTTGTTTGATAACCGGTCTGAATGTAAATTCTAAATGAAAAAAAGATTACAAATTAATGAAATGTCCCAACAAAAATTATCTGATATAATAATGATATTGATTTTTATATATTTGATATAAATAAAATTATATATTTCTGAAATACCTAAATAAAAAGTGTTAAATATAACAAGTAATTACAACGTAGCAAATTCTAAGGTTCGGAAACTGGTATGATGATACTACTAACACATTAAGTCAAGTTATTTAATAGGAATCATTGACTTTGTCTGATTTACATTGTTTGTTGTGTTTGTTATTTTTGACATGGAAATGTGATTGATTTTATGAGTGATTAAGTGATGTGGTGGTTTTGTATTGTAGATTGCACCAGATTGGAGGCAAGCTTTATCACTGAAGAAGGCGATTGAAGATCGCATCACAAAAGGTGTTGTTTTGGTATTGTTATGGATTTGGTCATAAATATTAACGTTTCCAATTCCATTCCGCAGATGGTGTGATCGGAATCGGAATCACTGCTACTGCTGTGGGGCTTATAGCTGGTGGAATTGCTGCAGCCTTGGTCCGAAGGAATTAATCATCATCATCATATGTCTATTGTCTACATCAACAATAACATCACATAGACCCCTTTTTGTTGACAAAACAGAAACTATTCACATTTCACAGCTTTGATTGTTTTGATTTAGTATTTGTCGGTTGTTGCTGTGTAGAAGGTTTTTTTTTGAGCTTGATTTTATAATAATGTAGTGCGTGTATACATCCATTATTAACACATGCATGCAACTTGCAAATGTTGAGATTGCATCATTTTAGTTGTGGTTTATTCAAAGCTAGAGATGATTAAAAGGACTAGAGATAGGGGGAATTGGTTAAGAGGCTGTTTGATAAAACCGAACCATTTAGTTATGAAATGTTTCCAGTCAGCCTCTTAATGGTTAAGAGAATGTAGGGTTTCTTAACCATTCAAAGGCTGTATCAAATGCGTTGAACTATGACCAATTCAGAGTGACCTGAATCTAAACAGCACCTAAGACCAGCTATGAACATTTGGTTGAATATTGGAGCCATGATTCAAGGACAAGAATAGGTTAAGGGACCGGTTGTGTGACAGGCTAGGATTAGACTTGTTCCCTAGGGATGTTGTTAGTGCATCAACAACTAAATATAATATAAATAGCAAAAGATACATTTTAGAAATCTATCTAACCCACAACTAATTGGAATGTAATGAAAAATAAAATACCTTAAATAACTAACCAAGCAAGTTGCTTATATATATATATATATGTTATTTTTGATCTTTGGTTGAGGTTGTCACTTGCATCACAAAGGGGGCATAATTTCATCAAATTATCATACAACAAAAAACTTTAGTTCGAAATCAAATCCCCTAAAAGGAAATCTCAATATCTTTATCTTTCCACATTTCTTTGTTCTACCAAATGCAGAATCAAAAGTTGGCTCGTTTTCTATACAAGAAGTAGTATCATATATATCTCTTCAAAGTTGAAAGTTCAATCAGAGGCAGCAAGAGCGGATTGCAATACATCTTCAAGATACTTCTCAGCAGCATTATATTGCCTTTTCTTATCCTCAATAGCAAGTGCAGCCAATGCTTTATCCTGCAACCAACCAACATTTCAATTTTCAAACCCTCCCTTAAATAGCCTCATTATAATACTAACTATCCTCAAATCAATATAAGATAACTACACAACATGTTGTTGTTTTTTCAGTTGAAAAACTTACCGGGGGCAAGTCTTGATAGCTTCTCAAAGTGTCAAGAATAGGCTTTGTCTTCTTGTCTAAATCTTTTCTATGCTCGGCCATTTCCACCAACATTCCATGACTGATCTCAGGGGTGTACCCCACACGAGTAAGCATCGCCTGTTACAATTACAAACTAATTTTTATCAAACAAAACACATCTACCTCACATTTTTTCATAATGATGTTACACTTCAATTAAAACTACTTTCATATCAAATTCTAACACACTTCCATTATTTATTCATAGCAAATTCATATGTAAGACAAAATACAACTGGAACCTAACCTTGTAGTTGGAATATTGCTGAAGATATTGTCTCTCTTTTGAAATCATAATCGACAGGTTTGTATTCCAACTCTCCATTTGAGCCTCACAAGGAGCCACATCATCTTCCAGTTGTGAAAGTGTTCTACCAAAACAAACATAAATTAGAATTCATATATTTCCATTTTCCAATCTTTTTTTTCTTTATCTACATGGACATGGTAAGAAACTGATTATTCAGATAAATGTAAATATATTATACCTAACTACCATTCACTTTAATCATACAGGTGGATTTACCTTTTCAAATAAGTCAGCCTTGCTATGGCTTTCCGAGTGTAATCAAGAAGAATCTTCGACTCCTTTTGCACTTTAGCCCTCTTATCTTCTACTCCAGTCTTCCTTAGTGATACATCTCCCATGGCCACAAGAAAACTACTCAGCTCGGTGTCTCTAATGTTCAGCAAATTTGCCACATTAGCAAGAACTTGTGATGATGCAACCACATTTGCAGGCAAACCTTCTTGTGCTAACCCCACATTCTCTAATATCTCTCTTATCCTTGCAGCTATCAAACCCAAATTAAGAAGAAACATACAAATCAGAATATCAAAATGTAATAACAGACAATGAAAACAAAGAGTGCTATGTAATTCTCCTCTATTAGGGTAAATTTCAGGCGAAACAAAAGGTTTGAGATTTGAGAAGCATAAGCATTACACAAACATGGCCTGGTAAGTAGATCTCGAGTAAATTGAGAACATAAAAATGCACAGAAAAAAGTGACAACCTTGGGAGCGATATTCGGAAGCTTTAAGACGAAAATCATTGGCAATTATGGTGGCAGCTTGCGTTTTGGCTTGAGAAATTGTGGCCAGATTATGTAAATGCGAAATGCTGCGAGGGGTATACTCAAAATCGGGGACATGATCTTTGCCAGCCGCATCGAATTGGGAAGCCAGCCAAGATTTCACCTCCCCTATTCGGTTGGCATCGAAAGATCCGCTGCTAGTTTTTGACAACTCGTTTGCAGATGAAGGTGTGAGATCGGGTGTGTCACTCATTCTCTCTATTATGATCCCCTTTATTTAGGGTTCTTGGTAAGATGGTGAGGTTCGAATTTGGGGGCGATTAGATTCAAATATTAAAACCGGTATTTTGAAAATAATGGAAACCGGGTAACGGACGTTAATACAGATCCGGTAGGGCTTTGCATAGAGGCCGGTCGATGGGGAATATAGTCAACGTTGTATTTTTATTTTATTTTTTACCAAGTTGCTAGCAATTTCGATTCATTTAAAATTTTAAATACCAAAGGGCTTCTAGCCCTGCGATATCAGGTAGACCTGGCAAAATCTGGCACGACACGACAACACGACACGAAGTTAGCGGGTTAGGGTCAGAGATTTCGACCCATTTATGTACATGGGTTGACACGACACGACACGATAATTAAACGGGTAGGGTTATGGTCAAGACTTTCAACTCGAAGATGACTCGAAGATGACCCGTTTAATTATATATATATTTATTTCATATTTTTATAAATATTTTCAATATTATACATTTGTAGTGGCCCAAATTCAAGAATTAAAAGTAAAATTCAAACTTTCAAAGTGACTTAATTTTACTCCTCATCACTACCTATCTCATTTGCATCCTAACTCTTAACTATTTCCATTTTGCTTTCTAAATTTACCACTACCTCCGTCCCATATTTATTGTTCAATTTTGACTGTTGAAGTCTTTATTCTTCAAATTTGATCTTAAATATTTTTGTTTTTGATATATAACACTTAATGCAAAATAAATGAATGAATTGTGTTTTAAATGTCTTTTCATTGTTATAAGTTTTATCAAGTAATTTATAACACAAATAAAACTATTTAAGGTCAAAGTAGAAAAATAAAAACTTCAAAAGTCAAAAATGGACAATAAATATGGGACGGAGGGAGTATAATTTTTTTTCCGTTCCACCTCCCAACTCCAGTATTTCACTTTCTCAGTTTTTTTCCTCCACGAGTCTTACTTTTCAACCTTTAAAATGTTTCAACCCGACATGACACAACATATTTATAAGGTTTAAACCTTAACCCGAAACCCGACACGAAAATAAACGGGTTGACACGTCACGACACGATAATTAAACGGGTCGGGTTAGGGTCAAGCACTCTCAACCCGTTTAATGTCTTGACACGGCATGAACCCGACACGACACGACACGTTTGTCAGGTCTAATATCAGGTGGTGCCCTCCCTCCTTGAGGTCGATGGTTCAAGTCCGGTGATGGACCTAGGTGGAATTAGATGTTAGTTTAGGAGTAGATTATAATATTTGTATTTTCCGTTTCAAAAAAAAAAATTAAATGAGAATCGAACTAATTTCAGGTGTATATTATTTTTAGGATCAACTCATTTTCATGTTTTGGGTCGTCTGATTGATTACAGAAAGAAAGGACAACAAAAATGAAACGATTGAGGTAATTGAATAAATGAGATAATAGAATCGATTGGTGTTTGGTTGTAATGTTGCAAACTTGTAATTAATTATTGGTTATTGATAATAGAATCGATTGGTGTTTTCCCAATTTTTTTAAGACAACTTCAAAAATGGTCCCTGTGGTTTCATAACCATAGAGAATCTCTTGATCCTCTGCAAGTTCTTAAGGTATTAAAAAGTAACTATAAATCTCTCAATTTTGCTAAAAAGTTGTAGGTTTTGATTTGCAGAGATTATCCCCAAATATGCACTTACAGCTTGCTTCGGATATAATATTAAGAATGCTAAGAGCTCGTCTTCATCATCATTATGAAGGACAAGTAGGTTCTTTGCAAATTACCGATCTTGTTCTTAGTCTCAGATTTAAAAAGAAACCATAATCCAGAAGTCAAAGGATATATCTGAAACGAAAACCTGGTCAAAAAATCATAATCTGAAGAACACCGCCTGAAACGACGATGAACACCAGTGGGTATCTCGATTTGAAGAGGGTTCTCTGAATCGATGCCTTCCTCGAAATCTAAGTTTGTGCTTATTATATGTAATCAAATTAATCAGACATAAAATAAAACAAATTTTCTGATATAATCAATCGTAAAAACCAAGTTGTCCACTCTAAAACAATTCCAAAAAAAAAGTTACACTAAGATCGGTAGCCTTCAGTTCCGAAAAAATCAGTCAAAAAACTTAGAAACCCACAACATCCCCATAGATCAACCTAACACAACCCCAAATCTGAAACACTTTTGAACAGAAAAAGAAGAAACTGAATGAAATCTAAGCGAATCCCTCTCACCTGATAGAACTAGGACGTTGAAACAGAGGCTCATGTGGCCTGGGTAATTAGAAAAAGCAAAAAAGGACTGAAGAAAAGTAGAGGATGTCGAAGAAGAAAGGAGAGAAGGGTTGAGGTGGATGTGATATATAGGGAAAATTTGAGAGAGAGAGAGAGAGAGAGAGAGAGAGAGATGTGGGACCCTTGGATATTAAATATTATTTTTTCTTTTTTTTAAAAAAAATAATAATTAAGCGAAAACCTCATAAATGGTCCATGTGTATTGAAATGACGAAAATGCCCCTCATTTAACGGTAGAAGGCTGACGGGGTTAGGCGGAATGACTAAACATTAAAAGTTTTGAAACCACAGGGACCATCCGTGAGGTTTTTGTAAATTAGCGACCAAACTTCAGATTTTATGAAACCATAAGGACCATTTTTAAAGTTTTGTCTTTTTTTAATGAAAGGAAATGAAAATAATGGAAAATAGGTTATTGATAACCTTTCATCATAATTTTCCCTCTAAAATGAACGGATTTGGAGAGATATACAATCCAATACAAATATAAAGTTTTTTCATTTATCGTATTTACCTTTTTAACATAATATAAAGAAAAGATTGCGTATTATGATTTTTTCAAGGTGGTTCTATTTTCCATTATCAAACAATTCGTTATACTCCGTAAATATAAAAATAGAATATATCTTTTTATTCCAAACCTTTTCTTTCTCTACTTTTTCTTATTTTTCTCTTTCTTTTTATTATTAAGTCGGATAGACAGTGTAAAAATCAAAATTTTACTGAAGAAGTCGAGTAGGTGTTTTAGCATTTGACGTTATGATTTTTAGCCATTCACCGACTGGACACATGACATGACATGGTGAAGCAACGCCACCGTCACCGTTAATATTATCCAGGGTGGATCGGCCACTTCCTTTCTCACTCCCACAGACCCAAATCTTAAATCTCTCCCAAATCCACATACGTCTCTCCCTCTCTCCACTTCCACACGATTCCATAAAACCATCTCTCTTTCTCTCTTTCTCGTTCATTCATCTGCCTCTTCGTCTTCTATGTCTATACCCTTTCTCATCGACTTACTAACCCTAAAGTGAACGGCTTGCAGAATTTTTGGTAATTAGAGGAGCAACGTAGATGAGGAGGATGGTGAAGACTATTAACAGTAGCCAAAGTCCCACGGGTCTTTCTGTCTTTCTCATAGTTAATGCTTATCCCAAAAGGTACTCTTCCAAGATCCCCTCTGATTTAGTCCTCTTTTTGGGACTTGGCTTCATAGATTGGTAGGGCTGTCTTCTCTGCTGCATCTGATTCAATAAATATCGGTTTTTTCTTCTGTTCCTGTCATAAATACCATGGAATTTCTCTTGATCTTGATTCGATATATGGAGATTCATGTGTTAGGAGGTGACCTGGATATAGTTTTCATCTAGGTAAATCATTCTTCTGTTCAGATATATTTATTTCCCGATTCATCTGCCCAAATACTCTCTCTCTCTCTCTCTCTCTCTCTCTCTCTCTCTTTCATCCGTACAAAAAGTTTGAGTCTTCGATCATAATAATTCAGAAAAAATTGGGTTTTTTTTTTTTTGTATTCAGCTAGTAATATGAAAGCTGAATCCATCTTTCTTTAGTTTTTAGGATCGTCTGAGTCCATATTAAAATGAGCCTTGTGATGAAGAATTCAAATCCACGATCTCAACTTATAGCTCTTAGAAGTGTGATTTCGTGAGATGGGAGATTCTCTTCTCACTGGGTTTTTAATGTTAAATCATCATCCTTCAACTTTTCTGTCAATGGATTCCAGCGCCTCTTCTTCTCACGATGATTTAGACCTAGAAATGAGTCACCAGATCATCAACCCCACCCGTCCTCCCGACATCAATCTCCCTCTCTCAGATGAAAGAACCTCCCCACCCTCATGGAATCAAGATCAGTGTGAAGTTCTCGATGTTGGAGTTGGACTAGTCTCACAGCTATACGAAACTGAAAGCTTCCTGAACGTCCCTAAAGTCGGAAGAAAGTGTGCCAAAAGAGTAGATAGCATATGGGGTGCTTGGTTCTTCTTCAGTTTTTACTTTAGGCCAGTTCTGAATGAGAAATCCAAATCCAAGATTGTAAGAGACAGCAATGGAGTCTCTGGGTTTGATAAATCAGACCTCAATCTCGATGTTTTCATGGTCCAACATGATATGGAGAACATGTACATGTGGGTGTTCAAAGAAAGACCTGAAAACGCATTGGGGAAGATGCAGTTAAGAAGTTACATGAATGGGCATTCAAGACAAGGGGAACGCCCCTTTCCTTTCAGTGTTGATAAGGGTTTTGTTCGATCTCATAGAATGCAAAGAAAACATTACAGAGGCCTCTCAAATCCCCAATGTGTCCATGGAATTGAAGTTGTCCCTTTGCCTAATCTAACAGTAATCGATGAAGATGAACTGAAAAGATGGACAGAATTGACTGGAAGAGATTTAAATTTCTTGATCCCATCTGAAGCTAGTGATTTCAGTTCATGGAGAAATCTTCCAAATACCGAATTCGAACTTGAAAGGCCACCTGTAACAAGAAACAACAATTTAAATTCTCAGTCAAAGAAGTTGCTGAATGGGTCAGTAGGGCTAAATCTGTCAACTCATCATACCAATGGGGATGCTGACCTGTCACCTGGCACTGGCATCAAGAAAAGGAAAGAGTTGCTGGAAGATATCTGTTTGACCGTTAATAATCATCCTCCTGATGGATTACCAAAGATGGAAATCAACCCAAACGAGCCTTATTGGTTGAATGAGTTTTCTGGGGTTGCGAGGAATGCGTGTGGGCCCGTGACAGCTGCAAAGACAATATATGAAGATG